AATCAGCCACACAATGCTGCATAACGACATGGGTCATGTCTAGCAGATTGAAGTTTTTCACGTAAGCCGCCCGATTTCTTTATTTCATGAAGGAGTAAAACACCCGGGTAGACTTTTTAAAGTAGCAGCCACGATTCCTAGTCTGATGATGCACCTTTCTTCTTTGTGCATTTTGTTCAAAACTTGTCGTTTACATTATGCAAGGTACTACTTTAGGTACCTTCTGTACCTGTAGGTACTTAAAGTATGTTCTTTTTCATTGTTTAGCGGAATGCAATAACTATGTACTTACTCCATCGTTAATCTGAAATCATAAATGTTAATAATGGCGTCCAGGCCCAAGGTAACTTTCGGTAGATTTTATCCAAGTTGAAGCGTTGTTGCGTTTTCCTCTCTAATTTATGGACCTTGCGAACTGTACCAATCTTCTTAAATGGAAGTCCAATACTTTAATGCATAGTGAGCCAAGTTGAGTAGCGGAAGAAAAATCCCAGGTCTGCACAGTCAGTCAACCATGTCTGGCCTTGTCTGGCCAAAAGAAGTTTCGGATTCTGGTAGTTCCCCGAGGCTCCATTAGGTGTGGCCCGTCTGTGTGTTCAGAACGTCCCCGTATCACTCAGAACATCGCTGCCGCACGTCAGTAGTTTGGCCTGGAGGTTATCGCGTCTGGAGGTGTAAAATACAGAAATAATACATTGCAATAAACACTCTGCGTGCGACACAGTTTACAGCTGCCATATACAGTCTGGATTTCGATAACTATACAACACCCCCATTTCTACTAGGGGCTGCGAGCGTTGGGCAACTAAATATTTGGCAGATCGCTAAGCGAATTTCATAGTCAAATATACAAAGATATTTTTTGTGTTTTATTATCTTCTTATGTGCTTTTGCATCGTCCATCATGTTCCAATTTTGGCCGCTGTACGGTCGTTCAGCAATTGCTGTACATGTCTAGAGGAAGTGGGGCTTAATGGATTTTGTCAGTTGCCCCCCAAGGAGTGTGTCCGACATCTCAGTTTTCCTTGTTGCACATGGAATATTCGAATACGGAAAGAAGAATCTTTACGTAATGTAGTACGTTATAAGATTCACTAATTTCAAAAGAAAATTTCAATCTCGGCTACATCTTCAAAATTCATATACTTAATCGTTTTCCATATCCATGAATGGTTGGATTGAGGTATTTGCTGTACTGAATAAAAATTGAGTACGTCCTTGGGAAAAGCCTTTTCCCAATGAAAACGTAATTTGTACATAGCTGATACAATTTATATGGATTACACCCGCTTGTTTCATACATGGATGATATTAGATACAGCCATCATCTTGAAATGATAGTGGTTCATAATATGAAACATAACGCTTTATAAGGGATATTAATGAGTTTATTGCAAATACATGCCGGAAGGCTAATTGCAAGTACATGTAACATAGATGTAATGATGACAGATACAACGATATTAAGAACTAGCTCTAATATTAAGCATATCACATCCCAGCAATGATTCAAAGTTACAGTACTGTTTTGCTACCCCGCTGTGAGATGAATATTGGTTATCCAGTCGGTAGCAGTGGAAAGTAGCGATAAAGTCAAACACACTGATCAGCAGCGATATAACTGTACTGTACGAGCGGAGCGTCAACCAGACAATTAAGCTAACCACTTAAACTTCAGTAGACATCCGCACGATTTTAATGAGAACGCCATTGCACAATAATTGCACAAGGTACTGCTATAAATGTATATGCTAAGGTCACAATTGGAAAAGCGGGCCCCGTTGGGTAGTTAACTGGGCCATGGGGGTTAAAATCATTCAATCAATGGACAGAAGTACACCGTAAACTAATCATGATAATACCGACAGTTCCCTTCCCAGTGTCCCGCAGTTCTTCGGGCCATTTTTTTACATCACTGATCAGCTGCACAGAACGACCTTTCCCATGTGCGCGCCGGAACACCCCGGGACTCTTACAAGGTAGTGCCTCTGTGGTCTGTGCACGGTGCACTCATTATTTCTATTGGCTCACCTTAAATGACTTCAAGTGTTTTTCTATTCGGGGTTTAATCTTCCCAATCTGCAAATGGCCCCCGGTGTTGCGTGGACGCCTTCAAGTGGTATCAGGAGATACGCGCTAAACGTTCCATTTCTCGGGAGAAGTACTTGTAGGAGTATTAAGCCTTTCTGATGAAGCCGTGGGAGGTGATATGGTATTGACATTGGACGGTGTGGCGATCAAATAAGATCTAAAATTACTTTTCGCACGAACATCCTGATATCTATGACTACAAAGTAATTCTTGCCACGCGATGCCATCATTTTTTGATAAGAGACAGGTCCCGATGAGAGGAAACATTTCTCGTTTTCATAGTCACAGTCCATGTGATTGCCTGTCATTGTAATTATTAGATGGTCCTCAGATCCGGAAATGACGAGGGCTGCATCATCTCTCTTATCAAACATCGCGTGAAAGAACTAATTTGTTTGTGATCATAGACGCTTCCCAGGTACTTGTCGCTTGGGGAAGTGTCACACTGCCGCTTGTCAACAGTCAGTCACGGGTTGACTTGTTTCATTTCGCATCTTGTATTGCTGCCGTTATTCCGTCTTCTCCGCACGAACCTGGCGCCTCCGTGTGTGTGTGTTTGCTTGTGCAAGTATTGTGCAAGTATTTGACACAGGTATGTGGTGAATTGTCTCACCACAGACCGCAAAAGGTGATGAGGTCCCAGAAGCTGACAGAAATCCGGCAGGAAGTTAGCAGTCGCCTGTTGGCACGGTGACAGCGGGAAAATACATAGACAACGTAAACAGTCAAAATGAATTAAAGACACTCACAAAAAAAACTGAAAATATTTCCCGGAGGTTTGAGATCTCTGATTTCTTGTTGTGTGTTATGTTGTGTGTGCAGAATGACGTGCTCAGGTCTAACAGTGGGGGTGGATATGACGAAGTGCACACGGGAAAGAGATTTGGAGTTGGGATCACGCCATAACTTTATAATCAATATTTCTTATCATACATCATAACGAAAAATTGCTTACACGTACGACTATCTAATACCTGTCAGTCCGCAATCGTACTGTTGATACACCTTTGACGTCAATGGCTTCTTAAGAGGTTATTGGCGAGGAGAGTGGTTTCTATGGGGGTCTGTGCGATTTCTGTGGTTAAGACAGTACTCTGGACAGCATTCAGTTGGCATTCAAAAGTTGTTTGATTCAGTTGGCATTCAAAAGTTGTTTGATTCAGTTGGCATTCAAAAGTTTCAGGTTTCAGGTCTGAATATTAACAACATGCTAACATACTAGCTAGCACGAAAGTTCATCTGAGTTGGCAAAGTATATAACTTGGGAACAATTCAACTGTTCTCCAACTCATGGGTGCCGTTGTGTCTGCGTCATACAAAATAGAGTGACGTCTTGACAAGTTGTTATAAAGTACCATAGTAGTCATTCAGGGGAACACTTAACAATAGTCTTGGGTCTGTGTGGCCGCTGTGCGCTTGTAATCATTTTGAACTTCAGAACCACAACAGGTTTGCTGATTTCTTGGAAACTGTTCTGTTCGTGTACATGGACCATTCTGTGCGTTGTTGTGCGTATTTAAGGTGCGTTGTTAATCCCGTAGCCAGGGGAAATTCGCATCACGGTCTGGAAACTGAATGTGCGATGTATCAGTGGACCTCATCGGCTGGAAATTCACATTTGTTGAATTGCTAACTACTTATTTGACTTTGATCTAATTGCTCATATGTCGGTCACGCGTGCAGATTTATGTACATGGGGATGTGGTAGCGATGTTCTCTCAATGTCACGTCAATTGCGTATGTTAAACATCGCTTTAGGCGCGAGGCAAGTGTCATCATTTCTATATATTCTTTATTTGACAGTGTTTAATTATTCTTCTGTAGCCTTTTCATAAATTTGTATTAATACTTTTGAGTGGGAGTTTCTACTTCATATTAGTGATTAGGAAACATCATAGGACATGTCCAGATAATGTTATGCCTTTAATTATAGATTTACAAAGTTTCGGATAAATTTTCCTACGGATTTAACCACCTTCAATCATCACGAGACCTTTTATTTCAGAAGGGGTTGAAATTTACGTAGCTGTGATCCTTGGCCTTTGGTAAGCTTGCATGTGGCAGCGCGATCCTTGCCATTCGATAGTCCTGTTTGTACCGGATCTGTTGGTAAGCTTGAATACGGCAGTACTATTCATTGTCCGGTCACTGCCCATACAGTACACAATCCATTACATGGAGGAAGGGGTTAAAGTATATCCACGGAATGCATATTAAACGATATTTGCTCTAACATGGGCTTTTCTTCAGGGTTATTGGATACCCATGAATTCATGTTCCTGTTAGGGTAAATCGTACCATTGAGTCAAGTTGCTGATGTCTTTTATCCAAGATCACCATATGTAGACGCACTGGTTTCTTCATTTGTTTCAGGAGGTTTCCAGAAGGATATGTGAAAACTGTGTTTGTGCTGGGATACCGGGTACCATCGGTACCACCACATGACTGCTTCTAGCAATGAAATACTTTACTTTAAGCTTTCTCTGAATCAGTCCCTCAGTCGTAATCGGCTGGCATTTGTTGCCATAACACGTAGTGCCATAAAGGTGAACATTATTAATCATAATCGCTATTTAAGTCCGTTAAGTCAGTTCACAATCAATCTAGAAATGAGACATGGCCATTAATATGCAGCAGCAGCAGTTTCATTGAAATCGAAATAATTAATGTCAAATTCATTGCAGTAATGTAATTAAGTATTCATTACCAAAGACACAACACGGTGGCAGGTTGACTGATGGTTGTCCCTGCAGATGTGCCCAGCGGTGACGTTAAAGCAATTATTGTTCAACTTTTGAAATGAAGCAACTCTCCGGGCTGGCTAAGTAATACACGATAAATCATATCTACTGCCATTAACGCCTTTGTAATTAATTATTAAGACACTCAACCTGCCTTTTATTTCATAGAGGCAGCACCATGAGGAGCGGATCGGCAGTAAACTACGGAAGTAGAGCGGGAAGTGGGAACGACAAGAGACAATGTCTAACTCAGGGAGACAAACACATTCATCTGTGACATCTACAGTAAACTCACATGACGGCCCGCGCGACTTGGATTAATAGTTTTGACTGATGTTGGACTTCTGTGCCGGATGTTTGTACGTCATCAAAGGAAGCGCATCCTCATTAGACACGCTTTTCCCAGAATTATCTGATACCAGGGGGAAACGGAGCAGGTACTTAATGAATTGAATGAGAAGAGCCATTCATACGCTGCTACTTCTCTCCCCACCTGACTATCAGTCATAGACATAGGGGCACCGGAAAGCACGTCTTCGCAGTTCTGTCAGAGTAACACAGACTTGTGACAGTGTAAAGTGGGGGACTCCGAGAAGAATCATGACGACAATCGTCAGTATGTCGGACTACAACACGACCCAGGCCCTGCTGGTCCCCGAGACGCACGATGTGCGGACAGTCCAGCCGGGAACAAACGACACGAACGGCAGTTCAGGGTGCACGGAGGCGTACCTCGGCTCGCAGTACTCTCTGGTTATACAGGTGAGATGTCTGTCACACGTGAATGGTTGATTCTTCAGTTTTATTCGTCCATCTATTTATCATTTATTCATCGTGTAGTTTGGTGTGTTACGGTATGTTTTGTTGATATGACGCATGTATACATGTATGTAACGCAGATAGAGTAGCAGTTTATGCTGCAGATGGACAGTCGTAATAGTTACCCAAGAAAAGTACAGTTACTCAAGAAACTGGATAGAACTTTAAAACTGTCAGACTTTTCAAGTAGCACATTTCGTCAGTACCTAAAAATATATATCCGATTTATCCAGTCAGAATTTCCTTCTGTATCTCATTACCTGGATAGTTGTAAAGGTCTTTTCATCCAGTTAAGGCAGACTGACTCCTGCCTTACAACAGTAGATATGGACATTGACTTTCATGTTTATTTTTCCTGTTCTTAGATTCTCCTGTCCTGTTTTCTTGCGCTGGTCATCCTGCTGACCATCGTGGGGAACATACTGGTCATCAGCACCGTGGCTCTGTTCAGGTCACTCCGGTCACTCACCAACTACTTCGTGGTAAGGCATCGACACTGACCACTGTGCGCGCGCGCGTGTGTGTGCGTGTGTGTGTGTGTGTGTGTGTGTGTGTGTGTGTGTGTGTGTGTGTGTGTGTGTGTGTCTGTGTGTGTGTGTGTGTGTGTGTGTGTATGTATGTGTGTGGGTGGGTGTCTAGATCTGTGTGTGTGTGTGTGTCTGTCTGTCTGTCTGCCTGTGGGTGTGGGTGTGAGTGTGTGTGTGCATGCGCGCGCGCGTGTGTGTGTCTGTGTGTGTGTGTGTGTCTGTCTGTGTGTGTGTGTATGTGTGTGTGTGTGTCTGTGTGTGTGTGTGTGTGTGTGTGTGTGTGTGTGTGCAATCAAGGAGGTAATATGGTGTGATAAAGGATTAGGGGTGAGGGGTTGGGTCAACTGGAGAGAGACTATTTTTATGTGTGTGTGTGTTTTTGCGCGCGCGTGTGTGTGTGTGTGTGTTTGTGTATGAAGTGTTAGTGCGATCAAGAAGGTTATGTGGTGTGATAAAGGATTAGGGGTGAGGGGTTGGGTCAACTGGAGACTATTTTTATGTGTGTGTGTGTGTGTGTGTGTGTGTGTGTGTCTGTGTGTGTGTGTGTGTGTGTGTGTCTGTGTGTGTGTGTATGACAGTATGAATAAAAGCTCTTACTGCCGGTGTGACCGTGAGATTTGTGCTATTCTGATCCCCAGGTGTCCCTCGCGGTCGCTGACCTGCTGGTCGGGGTGATCGTGATGACGCTGGGGACGCAGTACGAGGTGTCGGGTAGATGGCGTCACGGTGAGATCTTCTGTCTGGTCTTCACGTCCATGGACATCTCCCTCACCACCTGCTCCATCATGCACCTGTCCTGCATCGCGTTCGACCGCTACTACGCCATTTGTCACCCCTTCAAGTACCCCACCAAGATGTCCCACCGCAAGATGGTGATTCATTTATTTATTACCTTTGCCTATAAGGTTACGTTTTGGTAGCGTTGGTGTGTATGTGGTTTGCCTAGAAGCTATGTGGATGTACATGTATTGCCATTTATTCATCTAATATTCAACATCTGGGTAGCCCTTTACAATTGCTTGAGCATTCATACATTTCAATACCATTAAACATGTGTGTTGATACCTTGTCTGTGCTAGGTGCTGATGATCGCGCTGTGCTGGATCGTGCCCGTGATCATGGCGTACGTCCCCATCATGAACCGGTGGAACACCATCGGGATCGAGCCGGTGGTCGAGGACACCAAATGCGCGCTGGGACCGGACAGCTGCGTCTTCTTGGTCAACAAGGAGTTCTCCCTCATAGCCTCCACGCTCAGCTTCTATCTACCTGCTGTCATGATGACGCTGGCGTATTATCAAGTTTACCGCGCGGCCAGGAGACAGATGCAACAGATCATCAGCCTAGAACGAGCCATGAACAATAACGAGAACATGCGGAGAGAGAAAAAAGCAGCCAAGACACTTGGCATCATTATGGGCTGCTTCCTCGTGTGTTGGACGCCTTTCTTCGTGGCGAACATAGTAGAACCGCTGTGTGGGTACTGCATAACAAACTCCTGTGAGCTGTGCTTGAAGTTTTTTTTATGGCTGGGGTACATCAACTCCACGCTCAACCCCATGATTTATGCGTTCTTCAACAGAAGTTTCCGGCGGGCCTTTAAGAGAATCCTGTCTTGCTGGTCGTGCTGTGACGTGGACAACAGAGATTTCGACCCTGCCGTGTCCACGGCGCTCCAGACAAGAACGAGCAGACGGCACCAAAACGGCGAGGTGGTCAACAACACGTGATCCTGTCCAACCGGAGTTACACAACCTCTCACTGTCAGGGTCTAATTGGACCTCCACACCGCGAGATCTCTCGGCCCTCTGACTGGAGAGAACCATTCCCAGAACTGCCAATAGGAGCTTAAGACCTTATAACTCTGAAGCACAGGATTGTCACTATGGAAACCAGTCCCCACGGCTAGTCTCCAACACGGTAATAGACAGTTCTCAGTTTGCAATAAGTGGTCCATGTTAGCACATATCCATAAATCAACATGTTTAATATGTTCCCAATGCTCCTGGCCTAGACATGCTAGAGGTGATGTTCTTCAAGCCTCTAGGGTCTGACCAATGGCAAAGCTGCTAGAAGCATGATGTAGTCAGACTAGTGATCCTGTCCTACATCAGAATAAGACAACACAAATGTTCAAGGCTGCATTGTTTTCCAACCTTGGAAGAACTATTAGTATTCGAAAAGTGAACAAGGGCTTCCCCAAGGTGACCATACCCTAAGCTTCACAGGACGGACTGCGTATAAAACTAAAAGAGCCCCTCAGGGGTGACGACTGGATTGCCAACATATTACTATGTAATGTATAATCTCTGACTGGGGTGCAACAGCAAGCAGATGTAATATATAGGTCAGTGGAATTCTGTACCCAAATGTAGCATTTGCAAATCCGAAGAATTTGGATGTGCGCCAATAACGTCCAGCGATACTAGTAAAAACTGCAGGCGATGTAATCTCGTGTCACAGTCGTGTGTGACTCAATGTGCTGTGGTGGCAGCCCCCTATCGGTACAATGCTGTGTTGCAACTACTCCATTGTGTTGTCCTCACGCCACCTACACTATTGTAGATAAACCGCACGTTCAATACAAAGAGCATATGTTAATAAAAGTTTCTAGTTTGCGTAAGAAATAGTACCAAAGTACCAGGTATTTTACTTTGTATTAGTGTCCAATCACGATATTACTCCAGCTTGAGCCGAAAGCGATTTATATGTACCAGAAATCTTGCCATGTTTCACTGTATACAGATGAATGTTGACAATAACATGTCCAAGTGAAGAATCAGTTCGTGAGATCGTAATTGACTACTGATAAATAAAGAACATACCGTTTATATGGCTGGACCATTGATTGTACGTGAACTGTGGTGTGTATGCTGTGTACGTGGCAGCAGACTTTGATCTTCACGGAAATGATGTCTGTATTTATTCCACACTCGTGTATTTGTAAAGAACTGGATATAATGTCCATCATGTACACAATAATCATGAAATATAATCATGGCGTCGGAAGCAGTTGTTAGGTGTGTTATTTGTACTTAACTTTAATCTGAGTTTGTCAGTGTAGAAAATGGGTTTTAAAAATTGCCATGCATAGTCCCGTAACCATTATGTGTATCATATTAAGTCGAACTGGCCCCTACGGTTGCTGTCAGGATGGGATGATTAAATTGAACACCAGAAACTTCTCAAGTTTGTAAAATTTAACCCTTCTTTGACCACTAGGTGATTATTTCCCCATGACGGAATATGTTTAGTATTGACCACATTGGACAAGAAAGTTTGCAACCATGCTGTAAATCATGCAAAACATGTGATGCATGAGGGCGCTGTGCATCCCGAAAACCCCCATGCAGGCTCATATGTGACCAACCAAATCGTCAAAATTAATCTAATCAGCAGAGATGACCAATGGGAAACGTGCATTTTTCTGACCAACGGAGAGGCTCCAAAGTGCATTTTTCTGACCAATGAGCATGCCAGGATTCTGCTCAATCGACCTATCGGAGGCTAGAATTCTTCGCAAAGGTGGTTGGAAGTTATAAAGCAGGCGTGCGGGGACGGCTGAGTTCAATCAGTCGATTTTCAACTGCTTCTACAGCGCGGCCGGAGGGAAGATAGTCGCTCTTCTATCGACACGGCGGTCTGCAAGCCGAAATGTGGTGGAAATGGCGGTGCCAAAAACGTCCAGGGCATCAAACATGGAGACCCGCATTGTAAAGGTGAGACTATCGACAATTGTACTTAACCGGAATCGTTTGTATGTAACTTGACCTTCAGCGGACAGTCAAGTGTTTGGTTTCCTATCGTTTTCCTTTCTACTTCTGGATCACGTGCACGGAAATCTCCTCGTAATTTAGTAGGTAATGAACGAACTATGTAACTTTACCTTCAAACGTACTGCCATTGGAGTCAACATGTCTTAATAGTAATAGTGATACACATGTTTCTCTCTTTGCAACTTAGGGAATAGAGGTGCTAAACCTCCACACCCCAGGGCATCACTACACCGTGAAGAATTTGAGGGCTCAAACCTAACGTTGGTTTTACGACGAGGAGACCCGCAGTATAAAGGTGAGAATCGGAACAGTAACTGTTACCGTTATTAAATGTCTTTAATTTCGGAGCATTTTGCTTTCCTACTTCTGAACCACGCGCACGGAAAATTCCACGAAATATGTAACCGTTACTCGTTCTATGATCAAATACATTCTCTCCTTGCAACATAGGACTACAGTGAAGACATCCTAACTAGAAAGGCACGCAGAAGAGCAGGACGGCCTGTGCCAGAAATATGACAAGGTAAAGGTAATTGTACTGTTAATATCAAGTATCTGCTCAGCAGTAGCTGTAGCCTGTGACGGTAGAATTCATTACGGAAAATTTGTCTGTAATTGACGGTTCCACTATTAAAAGCCCAAGGCATAAGGCATCGTTGATTGCGTGCCTATTTAGTGTTTTAATGACAAGCAAAATGTTCAACTGAATCTATCTTGTTCTAATTATTGGTAATTTGTGCCATTCATGTCGGATTTAGGATGCAAGAAGCAGGAATGGAGACATCTCTCAGCATCTTCCAGGACCTTATTGTTGCCTTCAACTACACGTCTCATGGGAAAAGGCTTTGAGGGATGAAAAAAAAAGGTTAGTGATTTGTGATGTGCATTAAGTAGCTTTTGTACCAAACTTAGAATTCCCTCTGTGTATCTGAGACATTTTTGACAGGGATAATCAA